GCGGTGGGCTGGGTGGGGTGGGGCTGCACTCACAGGACACCTGCTGTCCAGTGAGTCTGTTTCACCATTAAAACCTCATCCATATGCCGGAGGTAGAATAATGGCCCCCAAAGATGCCCAGGTCCTAACCCAGAATCTGTCACCTCACGGGGCACATGGGCCTTTGCAGATGCCGTTACGGATCTTGAGATTTGGAGCTCATTGTGGCTCCTCTGGGTGGGCCCAGTGCCATCACGTGGGGCCTTATAGGAGGGAGGTGGGGAGGAGGCAGAGGGAGACTGTGCCGTAGCAGAAGCTGGCGTGGTGGGGCCCGGAGCCGAGGGACGCGGGACTCCAGATGCTGGAGGAGGCCAGGACAGGGTCTCCCGGGAGTCGCCCCAGGAGCCAGACCTTGACGTTAGCCCAGGGAGACCAGTCAGCTCTGCCCCCAGAGCTGTGAGATGATGTGTGCGTGGTTGGCTCCTCCTCCTCTCACGCCCTGCATCCAGCTGGTGGGGAATGCTCTCCGTTCCACCTTCACTCCAGACAGTCGCCCCCTCCCATCGCCCACATGCTGAGCACCCTGGGCAGAGCCACCTCTTGTCACTGAAGGGTTCCCCCCCCCCACCCCATCTCCCCGCACGGGGAATGCTGTCCGTTCCACCTTCACTCCAGACGGTCGCCCCCTCCCATCGCCCGCACGCTGAGCACCGTGGGCAGAGCCACCTCTTATCACTGAAGGGGGCCCCCCCACCCCGTCTCCCCGTGGCCGTCCTGGCCTGTGACCTATTCTTGACCCCCAGCCAGAATACATTTAAAATACTATAAGCTGCTCATTGTTAAGATCTTAAATATATATTTATATATTTTAAATACGTTTAAACGTCCCCCAACCCATTTAAAATGTATCTTAACCCCCCGGGAATGGAGAAGCAGCTTCCTGTAATTAGCAGCAGTTTCTCCCTTAGTGAGACCCAAAGTGACGGTGCATCTTGTCATCGCTGCACCTTCGACTGGACAAGACACCACGTCGCCTCGTGTCACTTCTCTGCTCAGAACCCCCCACGGCTTCTCTCATGGAGCGTAAAAGCCAGAGTCGCCCCCAGGCCCCGCCAGGACCCGGGGTCGGGGCCGGGCCCCCTCCGCACTCCCCCTCCTCTCCCGGCTGGCTCCGCGCCCGCCTCTCCGGCTCCTTGGCGGCTCTGGCTCGCTGGGCACGGCCCTGCCTCAGTCGTCCCGCTTCAGGTCTTTGCTGCCTAGCCCTCCCCAGCACCCCAGTGTCTGCTAGAGCCCGCTCCCCTGGGAACCACCTGGGACTAGGGGGGCTGTCAAGCAATATTTGGCACGCTCTGTTGGTTCCCTTCCCCTCTCTCCTGAGTCAGTGAAAGTCTGAGACAGAGTAAATTCTGAAACCACTGACTGGCCCGCACAGCCCCCAGGGCAGCACCTGGCCCCTGAGCAGCTGGCTGCCTCCCAGCGTCACACCCCTGAGCCGGCCTGGGATAACGTCGGAGGTCGGAGGGACAGTGCAGGCACACCTGGTTGGTGACCTTGGTCCTGTGGCTGGTGGTGTCTGC